TAACCCCTGTTGTGGGGCACCCAGGCTTGCCGGCCCCCAGAGAATCTTAGCTTTCGGGGGGCTGGGGGGTGCTCTCGCTGGCGTTTTCTCACAGCCTGCTGGTCCGGTCTTTGCCCCTCCCCTTCCGTAGCCTGAGAGACGCCACCCTTATATCCCGGCCTCCAGGCCAGGTGTGGACACTCACGCAGGCCCACACACGTGCGCTCAGGCGCCCACCACCAGGAAGCGCGCCCGTGCCCACGCTCCCCAGCGCCCTCTGCGTTCACACCGTCAAAGTCACAGGCAGTCGTCATGGAGGCTATTGGCGTCTAAAGCCTGATTGATCACTTACCCTACAGCCCCTCCTCCCTTGTGTCGGGAGATCCCAGATAAAGAACTGTTAGCTTTAGAAGGAAACCAGCATCATCCTTGCAATTCCAGGGCCTGCTCTACCGTGAATTAATTACAGGGGATGAGAAACTGGAGTCTACTTTAGAGATTGACATATGTTGGGAGGAAATTCAGGGAAAACACCGGCTTTTCATGGAAGCGTGGTTCAGGAATCTGCCAAAAGCCCTGCTGACAGCTCTGCCTGGGATTGGGGTGGGGGGCGCCTGTAGGGGGGTGCTTCTTTACAAGACGGGCTTTCCTGAGAAGAGAGCTTGGTTCAGGAATCTTAAGCAGGTTTATCTTTGTATAATGCAAAACCAGCCCCAGAGCCCTCACGTCCAAGAGCAGGAGACTGAGGATCAGGGGTAGGGGCAAGCGTCCAGGACAGGGACCCCTGTGCCTGGGGTGTTGGTTTGGTTTCGTGATGCATAAGGATTTGCTCGCCTCTAGGAACCCCCAGGCGTTCAGGTGTGGGGTGAAACCTGCTGGTCTGTGTGTCGGCCATCTGATTAGAACCTTGGGGCTCAAGCACTCTGCACCAAGGTGGTTTCCACACTAGGACTAACCCAGGGTTCCCATTTGTGGGTGTTGTAAGCATCACAGTCCTGCCAGAGGGAACAAGGGCACATTTTGCTTTGGAAAGCTAAGGAAGGTGTTGACAAAGAGGGCACCCTGGAACTGGCTTTTGGGGGCTGCAAAGCCCTTCAGGTGAAGGGTAGGCTAAGGTGAGGAAGGGGCAAAGAACCGGTGGGCAGGTTTACAGCAAGGTCCCGTGTACTGGGGAAATGAACTCAACACTGCGCGTTTAGGGGCGTTTAGGGGGACCAGGAAGACTGGACCGCAAGAGCAAAATGGGGATCAGAAAGATAATAGGAGGATGTCAGGCAGCGGGGCTATTTCAAAGGGGGCGGGACTGTTTTAGAGGGGGCGGGGCTATTTTCAAAGGGGGCGGGACTGTTTTTAGAGGGGGCGGGGCTATTTTCAAAGGGGGTGGGCTATTTTAGAAGCAGGTGTTTCAGTTTCTTTAATTTGACTGTGACTGAGCTTTCTGGGAGCCCCATGTCATGTATGTGTCCGGGGAGGGGCAGAACAGAGGTGAGGCAAGAATCTGGGGGCAGAGACCCCAGTCTCCTTCTAAAATGGCCCTGCCAGCTGGGGCCCTCTGACTGCCGGCTGCAGCCGGTGTGCCACTTCCCTCTGTTTAGCTAGC